GACAAACACAAACAAACAAACAAACAAATAAATAAACAAACAAACAAGCAAACAGATGGACGGACGAGCGCAATGCAATGAATAAATTCATATGTGTGTAAATATGCATTTAAAGTTTCAAAAATGCATACACGTACATATGCATGTAGGTATGTATGTATGTATGTAGATGCATTGTATCAATTACAGTTAACGCTTACAGCGCCGAAATTTCGGTGACATTGGAGCCACCGGTGACAGGAGTGCAAACAAATAATGCTCATTAATCAATTATAATCGATGTAAGTTGACAATATTTATGATTGCATACATACAATATATACTCGTATGTACATACATATGTTGGTACACTAAAGGTGTTGTACGTTTGTGGTTTTAGTGAAACACCTTAGAGTCGTGAATTTTCCAATTGAGTTATTCAGTTTCTGTTCAGAAAACCGCTAAAGACGTTGTAAGCCCTTCAATCAGAGATGGAAACAGTCTAAATTTGATATTTTTTTGTATGTATCTATATATAACGGGTCAACCAAGCAGAGGAACATTTTTCCTTTTTTTTTGTTATTTTTGTTCAGTGTTGATTGGCATTTCATCATGAAAAGACTTTTGCCCGAACAGCGTTAACAAATCGTTCAATCTGCTAGACACCAGCGAGGAAGGACGAAGATTAAAAAGGCTACGTCCTCTAGACTTGCCATTCAGAACCTAATACTAGAGCTTTCTTGACTAAAAAAAAAAAAATAATAAAATAAAATTATCGGCCTACTGAGCGTACCCATATTGCGATCCAGCATTCATTATTGGATAATATTGGACCGAATAGACCACGTTCATCACACAGTAAAGAAAGTATAGTCAGTATAGACGAAAACTGTGGAGAGTCGATTCGCCGACGCTCGCAGCGTTCTGGACTGACGTATGGAACGACTTGGCGCATTTAACGTCGAGATCCTTAATTGAAAGCTTACAAAATAGAGTCTGTGCAAGAGTTCTATGGGCTCTTGAGAAGTTACAAGAAGATCCGACGTTTTCGAACCAAATTTTATTCAGCGCTGAGACCCATTTCTGACTCAATGGGAGGATATGTACAGTCTAAAGGCTGTGCGGACTAAATTGTTGCTCTTAATTAATTAAAAAGTGTATTTAACGGCCACGGTGGCCGAGAGTTTAGCACTGCGTACTACCGTTCGGAAGGCTCGGGCTCAAGTCCCAGTGCGATCAGGGATTGGCAAACAATCATCTACTACGAGCTGCTCCCCTATGGCCAAACGCTCAGTTCAGCCCTTTACTGCCAACAAATGGACCGCTTTAAGACAACACTCATCCAGAAGAGGCCATCTTTGATCAACAGATGTCGAATTGTGCTCCATCAGGACAATGCCAGGCCACACACGTCTTTGGTGACGCGCCAGAAGCTCCAGGAGCTCGGGTGGGAGGTCCTAATGCACCCACCTTATAGTCCGGAGCTGGCACCAACTGATTACCATCTTTTCCTGTCCATGGCGAACGAATTTAATGGTGAGAGAGGAATATGAAAATTGGCTCTCCGAGTTTTTAGCCAATAGAGACGCAGCCTTCTACGTTGGTAAAAATTTAACGAACAAAACGGCGATTATTTAACTTGAATCGGACAAATGTACATAAAGTTGTCATATTTTGAAAAATCAATAAAAAAAACCGACCTAATACCAGCATGTCCCGAAGCGAATTTGAGGCAATAAAACAGTACTTTTCACTGCATATGAGAACGAAATGATCAAAAAGGGTAAACCAAGCTACCTCCCACTGTTCCGATCGGTAAAAGTTTTGAAAATCGCAGCATCGGAATCTCTTTTTTGGAAAAACAATGCCGATACTGTTTTCTGATTCATGTCAGCCTTCTTTTATTCGTATTTTACTATCTTCAATCAAGGCGGATTTATACGTACATTTCAATAAATTACCCAAGCAAAATACCTGAGAAATAGATTTTGACATTTCGAATATTCGTTTACACAAACAAAATACATGGATTTTTTTTTGTATTCTTGCTACTACCGTGTCGTAAATTTACCTTGTCTCAAACTAAATTTCTATTTTAAATTTTTTATGAATTTTCTATGAAAAATATATTTCAATATCGATATTTTGAAATTATAGAAAGGTAAAGTATATGATTTTTTAATTCATAATACAGCCAATCATGCGTCAATATTCCAAAATTAAATAAATAAAATTAATTATTTTAATTTTTTATTACATAATACTTCCTGGGAACACAATTTTCAATAAAAAAATTTCAAATAAAAACGGTAAACAAAAATTGTCAGACAATAATGTACGATGTTTAGCTTCAAAAAACTGCTTTTGGTATCAAAAAAATATTGGAATTTTCTATTGCTGTGATGAGTTTTCGTAAGCGGCTGCAGTCTGAACTCGTGAAACAATGCCGGTGATGGAGGTCGTGCAATGCATCTGAAATAGTCGAACGAATTTTTTTTCTAAACTTTTATAAGTATATCTTCTACATGAACTAAAAAAAATACCAAAGATGTTGGAAAATTTCAATTTTTTTCGAAAAAAATCATCCTTTTTGAAGAAAAATTCACTTCAAGTTGCAAAAAAAAAAGTTTAAATAGTAATTTTGTACATTTTTTGTTTAGTTAAAGCAGAAGATAATTTAATACTGAAGCTCGATCACTTCGATTATTTTCAATCTGACATATACTCTCTTTTTCCATCAGCCGCACCGTTTTCTAAGACTTTTAAAAGTGAAAACTCGAGAAAAGGCGCTTCAAAGTACTGCCCGAGCATTCGAACCCACTCGACGCTCGGCCGCTAAAACTGCTCTAGTTTCTAAAATATAAGAATTGCCCACTGGAATTTCGAAACATATTCTTGAATGGTTTTGGCATAGATTTAAGAAAAAAAATGTATTTTTTGAAGCCTCTAGAGCAGAGGCCTCAATAAACATAAATCCACATACAAATTTACATAACATTTCTAGTGTCTTTTAAGAAGACTATTTTTAGTTATTCAATCATGTGCTTGCCTCAAATATACGCAGTATATTTACGTACATGCATATATACGAGTACATACATATGTGTATAATTGATAGCAATGAGCTGCAATAGCCATATTTTCTTGCTGTGCTGATAATAAGAATTTTTGAGTATAACGTTTCGACTAACACTTTCTTTCTTTGCGTCATTCCGTTATTTTGTTGGACGCTTATAACAGGATTTTCTCTTCACAGCCAAATAATACCGAATGACTATTGAAATATGGCAATCACGCGCCAATGAATAATCCACAAAATACGTCGATATTTTTTTGTTCATTTTGACCTAAAATGTATATATATATATGTATGTACATTCGTAATGTATATGTATATCTATATATTTCATTTTTAACATAAAATACCCAATCAAATATGTATGTATGTATGTGCATATGTACATTAAAAATTGATTATACTATTTTTTCCTGCAATACATATACATATCTACACCCACTAATTCTTAATAGGATTCCATTATCTACATATATATATATATATTTATTATACTTAAATATTATCGATGGTTGTTATCCAAAAGTTGTTGTTTGTGCCATTTATTGCATGATACCGTTAAACCAGCAAACCAACTCAACTGTAAATGATAGCAATTGTGGCAGTAATTGGCTTTTTATTGCAATACTCATGCAATCGTACGTTTGCTTTTTTTACAATGGCGGCAAATGCCTAGAAGTACACCCGCTCAACACTAGTGTGAGTGAGAAAACAGTAGTATGTTGTTATCCCATGCAAGGTTTTGCAACATGTATGAGAGAGAGAGTGTGAGAGCGAACTCAAGTACGCAAGTTTTTACTCTAGTGTTATACAAGTGTATTGAGTATCGGTATTGCCTATTCATTATGTTGTTGTACTTTCGCTCAGGCTATTGTTATGTTATTGTTGCCCATGGCGTGTAGAAATATTTATGGCCGCCGCAGACCAATCAAATGTCGTTGACAGAACGGAGGAGTGTATTCAGTGCAGGGTAGTTCAAAGGAACAAATTTAATTTTTTTTTTTTTTGATAACAAAAATTTATTCTATTTAAATATATTAAAAAATCATTACAAAATTTAACATATTCAATTAGAATGTACGGAAAGTGCACCAATCGCTTGACAGACATATATAAATGTGTATGTATATATGCTGTTGACAGCAAATTCAGTTATATTTACTTGTCGACTGAAGATTGTGAATCATATATGTATGTATGTATGTTAACAGTACGCCTTTTATATGTTCATAGAGAAATTAATTATGAATAAATTAATACATTCGAGCTGTAAATGCAAACATAAAAATAAATAATTTACAAAAATTAAAGCTGAAGTGATTTTAATATACAGAATTATCTGCTTAGAGGTGATATTTTGATATTAAGAAAATTATATTTTTTAAGATAACAGATCAGATATTTATTCGAAAGTGAAGACGAAGATATGGCATTAAAATGGAAAACAATATCTGTCATCTGGTCCCAATGGAAAAAGTCACAAAGTGTGAAAGGACAAGATATCGGTGGGCCATGGCCATCACCTCTTCGACATATAACACGGTCCGACAAAGTCACGACGTTATTGATCATCGGCCGGCTTGAGTTCTTATGTTAACTGAGCTTTATAAGCCTTTATTAGACCCAAGTCTTAATGCGAAATACGGCGTAAAGACGTTTGTGAATTGTTTCTGGAATCATCTGACGAGTCACTGTCGATGTGTGAAACACAATTACGTGCGATTGCTTCCTTCAGACGTACCAATCGATGACAGTGCCAGTCCGAATTACTGGTTTGGTTGTCGTGGAGCAGCTCATAGTGTATAATTCCTTCCCAATCTATATATATGTATATATATATATATACATATAATTTTAATATTCTATAATAAAAACAATTTTTTTTATTTTTCTTTCATTTTATTTTGCTGCATTTCTTTTACATTTTAAGTATCTTTATTTCTAGGCTTTCCAGGTAGTGCCGCCGCTGCAGCTCTCTACTGTAACAATGCTTATCCTGGCTTTTACATGCCCAACTTTGGTGTTAAACGTAAAGGTGGCCAAATCCGTTTCACCTCTCAACAGACGAAAAATCTCGAAAATCGTTTTGCCAACTCAAAGTACTTGTCACCGGAGGAGCGGCGTCACCTCGCTCTGCAATTGAAACTCTCCGATCGTCAAGTGAAAACGTGGTTTCAAAATCGGCGAGCCAAATGGCGGCGTTCCAATCAAGCGAAACGTGCACCGCCCACACATATTTTAGGTCGAGGTTTGGATGGTGGTGGTGGTGGTGATAAAACGACGAATGGAACTGTTGGTAGTTGTAGTTCCACTACTGCTGTGCCGCATAGTAGCGATTATGGTCAAATTGGTAGCACTCGTGACGTGTTATCAGAAGAGGAGGAGGAGGAGGAGGAGGATGTTGATGATGACTTTGATGATGTGGAGGACAGTGAAGATGAGAAGGAATTGTCGATAAATGCAAAGTAATAGTAAATAAATTAATAAGAAATTTATTATGTGTAATACAAAATTCATATAGTACTTGTTAAAAAGGTGGGGAAAAGCACGAGGGGAAGCTTTTTAAAAAATTATTATAAATTTAGCTATAAAATTGTGTGTATGTAGGTATAAATAAATATGAGATAGTCGATATTTTTTTGACAAAAATAAATGTATAAAGTATTTAATAAATGGAAAAAGTAAATAAAAATACTTAAATAATATTTAAAATAAACCATTAATAACTGAATTTTTTTTTCATTATATATACAATATATATATATTATTTTATGGCGCTCTTCGTCCTATAAATTAATGAACAGACCTTTACGAACTCAATTGTCTTAAAGTCGATAAAGCAATAATTTTTTTTTAATTCAAATTCAAAGATATATATAGTAAAAAATATATTTTTATCTTTGTTGACCATTTTTCTTTTGTTGCTATTTTTTATATTTTTTTATATACATATATGGCGATGGCAGTAAAATAAATACAGTAATTACCGTAAACTTTGTTTCTGCTTTTAATGGGTGTGGATTGCCTATTAAAGGGTTACTTATTCGTGGAAAAAAATATATTTTCATCAATATTTTTATATTTATATACCTTAAAGATAAAGATTTGAAAAAGAACTTTCGAAAATTTCAAAGAAAAATATTCACGATTCCCCATTTATGGCGTCATTTCCGGTGACCATCGGATAAAAGGTGCGTCTACGTTGTTGACAATAGAACTCTCGACAGGCTCATCCGAAGTAAAAGAAATTGTGTTTTAGTTAGGACCACAAATATAAAAATTCGGGCGAAGGAAAGCTAAAAAGTGATAAGTTTTTACAAAAAATTTCGATTTTGGTTGGGATTGAAAAATAATACTTGGCCCGATTTTCCGTGATTTGTATCTAAAATATCTGTTTAAAATTTCATCAAGATTGGTTGAGTGGTTTTCGAGAACTAACAGCCGAATTTGAGCACGCAGTTTCGAGAAAATCCCGTTTAAAGGCTTCAGCGCGCAACTTTCCAAGGTTGTATCTCTCGGGTCGACTTGAAAACTAAAACTAAATATACTAATAATATTTTCGAAATATTCTAATAAATAATAATACAAAAAAAAGAATGGTTTTTTTAGCTGTGAAACCCATATAACATTTTAGCTACTATCGCCTGACGATAAGACTCACTTTGTGTTGCTGATTAAACTTAAGATTTTCATTTATTCAATTTTACATTTATGTTCTTAACCTTCATTTACTTTAAAACATTACTGAATTTTTTAAATATGGTATCACTTTAATTTATTTCGTTAAAAGTTTCAAATTTTAACGAAGCGTTCATATATGCATTCATATACTTCATTTTAAATTTAGTTTGTACAGAACGTTTGAAGAAAGAAAAACGAAGAGTAAGTCTTTTGAATTGTTAAAATAGTTCTTTATTTAAAATAATTTGATTTTAGATATTAAATTTGTGCTGTTGATTTGAATGTAAAAACTCAATAAACCGCTTGTTTGTAATACTCGTTTATGTTGATATTCTTTCGAACGTTTATTTGCTGCCGCAACACTTTGTCTTAAAACTAAGTTGATATCGGATGGCTCGGAGATATCCTTCCCATCAAGGCAGCTCATTTGCAGGCTTTTGAAGGCAGCCTTAAAATCATTTACAGGATTTGTCCATCAACTGCAGCACCTTTCTAAAGCGGGTGATAACCGGTGCTAGAAATAGAATCACCTAGAGTAATATAAAATGAAAACGGTCGTGGTCGATGGGCAATGAACCGGCATACATGGTATCCAAACCAGTATTGACGGCCAAGAAGGTTTTGTTGTAGGTTTGGTGAGATTGGGAAGAAATTGTCCACCATGAGGTGCTCCAATACGAACAAACTTTTGATTCGGATCAGCACTGTCATCGATTGGAATGTCTGAAGGAAGCAATGGCACGCAATTGTGTTTCGTGAGAACAACACCAGACCACAGACATCGATAGTGACTTGTCAGATGCTCCCAGCGCTTGGTTGGTTTGCATGCGCCAGTCCATATCTCACACCAAGTGTTTACCGTCTGTTCCTGTCTATGATTTGGCTGATGAGGAATTTGGCACACGCGAAGCCGATTGACCCAATTTTGTGAACATAGAGACAGGGTATTTCTATGAGAGGGGCATAATGACATAACCGACTAAGCCTTATCCAGTGGAAATAGCAGCTACGATTTTAGATGGGTTGAAGTAAACTGACATCATTTCTTTTGCTGCTGATTTTTTTTTTTTTTTTGCCTAGATTTTACGGGTGGGTTTGCTCCCGTTGGGATCCATACCATGGACTGCTGTTTAGTTTCTGGATTGTACTTATAGCACCAAGATTCGTCACCATTAGCGACTTTACTAAAGTTACCAGACTGACCATTTTCGAATTTGTTTAAGAAAAATTGAGCAAAAAGCACGCGAACCGCTTTTTGGTCCTCATTCAAAATTCGTGGTACCCATCGAGCAGATTTCTTCTTGTATACCAGAAGATTGCTAAATATTCGCGATACAGCATTGGCATTCAAGCTTAATTCATTCGCAATAATTTCTTGTGTCAGTCGTGGGTTTTCGTAAATTTTGGACTTCATCAGAGCTACCTTCTCCTGCTCGGGGCTCGTCCTCTACGGAATAAGGTGAGTTAATAAAAAGTCAAATTTTATTGTATTCTTCTTCGAATGACATCGTCGCAGTAATTTTTATTTGCTATCTTTACATATGTAGTTGTACTTATATTTATATATTTCTATATATATGTATATATATATTAAATATATTATTTATATTATTTTTATGTAGTTTAGCAGAAATGCATAAATCCTTTCCAACGTTTTAAATTTTTATATTTCTTGACATTTTCTTATTTATTTATATTGATGCTATTTATGTATGTAAGTAATCCTGTAGCTACATTTAATTATTCAAATTTATATATTGTATTGGGCCATTTTCTGTATTAATTCAATTTTTTACACGCTCTAGTAGGTTGCAAGAAGATCAATAGTAGTTGTTGGAATATTTGATATTGAAAATAAGTTACAGTTTTATATTTTCGGTTTTTAACTTTTAACAACTATTAGTTAATATTTGATATTGATACTGTGTCTCTATATAATATAATATTTTGTTCCTTAATTTTGCCTTTATTGATTTTAAATTTCTATGTTTTTTATAGTTAATAATTATAAAAATTAAAAAAAAAAAAAAATTAATTTGTTTTCAATAGCTTTGTGTTAAATGAGGGAGTATTAGTAGTAATTCTGAGAAATAAATTTAATTTGTTTTAATTCTTTACTTATGCACTTTTGATTTCATACAAATAGCGGTGCTTAAAATTGAGTTTTATTGCATACATAGGTACACATATATTTTAATTCTTTAATAAAAAATGAAAAAAAAAACTCCAAAAGCATCATATCGCATATGGTAAGAGCGCTAGATACTCGTATTCATAAATCGAGGAGTGTTGCCACATGGATTTATTCAGGGCGAAAAAGGTATATTTTCAACAAATTATTTTTTATATAAAGAAATAAAATTTTTTTTTTTTCAAACTATTTACTTCCCTAAATACATAGTACTTTTGGAAAAGATTTTCTGAAATTTTCAAAGAAAAATATTCATAGCTCCACCCGCCACTGTGGTGTCATTACCTCGTTGCTGACAGTAGTGGCAGTAGAACTCACAACGAGCTCATCCGAAGTATGAAAGAAAAAATAACGCTTCGGTTAATACCATAAACTAACTTTTGGACAATGGAAAACAAAAAAAAAAGTGAATATAGGATTTTTGGTAGATTTCTTTTCCAAAAAAAATTCGAGTTTTCGTCAAATTTCGTCAACATTTTTTTTTTTTTTTTTTTAAATAGTTATACAAGGGGGTTACAGAAACAGATTGTTGCCGGAATGAGAAGTGAAACCGACAAAATTCTCTCTAATAATTTTTTGTTCTGAAAAGATATTTAATATAAAATAAAATTTAATTAACAAAATCTCACGGTTGTTGTTACAGAGCTTCGCCAACCACGCTTAACAACAGGCTAGACTAGTTTCATGATCGACGCCAACTAAGGCGAGGTCCTGGAAACAAAAAAAAAAAATTTTTAGGAAAAATGTTATCTATATACATACGCCCATCTGTATATATTATATCTGAATGACTGACAAACACAACCACACAACCAATACTACTGATCGTAGAGGTCTGAAACTTGGAACCCTCTTCTGCGTATGAAAAGATTTTCCGGAAGGTGGACCTGAGGCCGATATGCTTGAAAAAAACGTATCGTTCGATTTACATGAAATTTGGAATAGTAGTAGCTGCTTTGGGCACAAAATACCATAGGATACACTTTTTCTTCCGGGAAGTGGACATTGGGGATAGTTATGCTATCAATTCCGTAGAAAGTGGTGGTGTTAAGTAGAGAAGGCTCTATAACAAATGAACAAAGACATATCAATTACGAAATACTTTCAAATATCGTAGCGGGGCTTGGAGATATCAATTTTTTTTTCTTTTTTTGTTGATACTTTTGGTGGTGCTGTTAAGACTTTTCTAGTCAATTAATTGTTGGCCAAAGTGCGAAGTAAACATGATAACCGGTTTAAGGGTCGTCTCATCCGGAATCGTTGACATGCTGTTGTTGGAGCTACTGTATTGCTTAAGCAGGCGAATTCTAGCAGATTTGCCAGTAGTGGCCAGGGGAACGCAAGCGGATTAAGTGTGAAACGATCTAATTTACAGACGTGGGGGATGAAACTGCGCCCTACCAAAAATATGAAATTCGAATTAAGAGAGAGATTTTATTGGCGAACCACTCTCAGATCTGTTGCCGAAAATGGTGATTTCCCGGAACTGAATATAACTGATATTCATCTTACATCCCTTAACTGACACCGCTGCCATAGATTCTGATGCATCGTACACATTTCCATAGCTTTTTCGTTTGTATCTATCGCGGATTAAATTTCCCCATTCTACATTGGTGACTAAACCTGAGAGACATTGCCAATTAATTAAACAGCCGTCAGAACCGTTCGCTGTTAACAAATGCTTTGCTCATGAACTTTGGTACAGAGGTAGCTTTTTTGCCTAAATTAACAGGCGAGAACACTTTTTTACAGCGCGAAGTGAACCTAGGACTGATCTAATCAATAAAATTGTATTTTTATTGTGTTGTTGTTGTAGGTGTTCGCTAATCCCGCTTAGATACAGGTTTGATCAATCTAAATCGCCGAGGTCATCTAGTGGGTGGTTCACGAAACGAGCTTTTTCGACGGGATTGAACCAATGGGGGAGTGGGGTTAGATGAGTCGCTTTAAGGGTGCATGCGAAGAGGTTGTTAGTGTTGTGCGGAGACTTTCCACATGCACGGCATACGTTGGATATGCTGGGGTCGAGTCTGGATGAGTAAGAGTTTGACCTGTTACAAAATCCAGATCTAAGTTGTGCCAAGGTCACGCACTCGAGGCAGCTCGAGCTCGTTGTCTGCTATGGGTGGTGGTTTTACGCCGAGCACGCCATTCACTGCAAGGTAGTCTTTGAAGGTGTTGATTGACTCCTGGTGAATGGCGTTCAGTGTCTGTCTTTACGTCTTCCTGTCTAGCGGTTGTTGTACATATTGCTGGATGGTGTTTTCTTATGTGCCTAGGTGGAGGTTCAGCTTCTATTAGGTGCCTGTTGGGGTGCTCCCAGCGGTAACATCACAATAGGAACTGCTTGCACAGCAAAGCATTATACTCCCTAACACGTAGCATAGATGCTTCACTGTGCCAGTGATGCTCCGGCGATATCAGGAGGTTTCCTGTCGCAGTCCTAAGAGCCTGTAACTTCTTCATCTGCGTCTCGTTCGTCCCCGGCGCTCAGATCGGTGCATTATAGTTTACGACTGGCCGGCCAATTGCTTTCTAAGTTGCCAGCAAAGTTTCCTTGGCTTTACCCCCGGTGCTGCCGGCTAGCGCTTTGAGTATTTTGTTGCGGATATGGAGTTTTGTGACAAAAAAAAATTGTATGTATAATTCGATTTGCCTAATATAGAAATATAGATGACTCCTTGCTTGGATTAAAGTATAAATAGCCTTTTCTCTCTGCGAAGTGGACCAGAGACCGCGTGAGAGTTCGATATTTTAAGATAATAACATAATAACAATTAAGTTAAAATAAAATAAATTAAGTAAAAATGCAATCGTAAATGTTATTAGAAATAAATCTTGAAAGTCCATGCGGACAAAATGCCGGGCAAGCGCTGGTCTATATATTAGTCCTAGTAAAAAGTAATCCATTATTTTTTACAATATATCGCTTTAGTGATCTATATCTCGTGCAATTGGATTACGCTAAATAGCGTTAGAAGCACAATATTTTGTACTACAAAAGATAGCGGCAAAAGTGTTGTTCACAGAACTCATTAGTGTTTGAGTTCAGGTCAAGGTTAAATCCTTGCAAAGAGGAAATACATTAGATTCTACAATTTTTCTTTGATAAAGGCGAACAAACAGATCAGACAGCGGTAAATGTGTGAATAATCTTCATGGTCCTGATACTGTAACAATTAATAATGCACAATTTTGGTTTCGTCGATTTCGTTCAGGTAAATTTGATGTAAAAGAATCGCGGCGGTGTGCAATGCCAGTTGGCGAAAATGTCGATAAAATAATGAAAATTGTCGTATCTGAGGACGCAACGTCAGACCAACCGCACACAGCGATAGTGACTCACCAGAAAAACCAAGAGTTTGTTTGGGAGGGAGGTTGTTATACATCTGTCTTACAGTCCGGACCTCGCAACAAGAAATGCACATTTTACCATATCACGATATGCAGCATTTCTCTATTTTACATCTATAAGTAACCAAAAAAGTTTGTTTCAACTATTCAAATTTTATCAACTCAATGTCTTATTTTCTCACTTATTTTCATCGATATAAATACATATGTATGCAAGTGTGCGCATTTGGTTTTCGGTTTAATATTGATTTATTTTTTGTTTTGGTTTATTCATTAAATACATTTATCTGATATAAGTAAATACATCATTAGAATTTTTCCCAGTTATTTTCTTTTTCAATACTTTTTTAACAATTATTAATTGAACAATTTTTTTTAAGAAAATTTTGTTTAATGGTATTTTGGTTTTTCGTAAATAGTTTTGTTTTCTTTTGTTTTGGATTTAGTTTTTAGGTAGGTTTTATACTAAGCATACATATGTATGTATGTATGTAATATTTATAAAAATGTATAACTAAAGTATACTGAGTAGAAAATTTAATTATTAGTCACTAATTATTTGGTAAGTACGTATATATTTGTTTGGGCGTTTTTACAGCTTGAAATTCTGAAATAAATTCAAAGCGTTAATTTTTTTTATTTTTTTTTTTTTTCATTTAAAAAAATTCTTTTATGCGTTACACACTGACTTTAATTGGTATTAACTAGAAATTCTTTATTAGTATTATTTTTAATTCATTATTAGATTTTTTTCATGCAGCTACCGTTATTGAGATTTATTTAGAATTCTGTCTTCGCTTAACAACAGACCTGAAAAACGACATTGCTCTTGCTGCTGGCTAATGCGCATAAATGCCATTTTGCTATGCATATACGTGTAAATAATTTGATTTTATTTTTTTATTTTACAATTGTAAATAATAAATTTGATATATTTTTAGTGGAGAAAGCAGGAGAAAGCAATTGGTAGTTGAAATATTAGTTGTGTTATTCTTTATTTTGGATTATCTTAAAGTTTACTAGGCATGCATCATTTAAATTCTTTTATTCATCGTTAATTATATTCAATATCTGCTTACGCACATGTAGGCATGTACGAGTATGTATGTGCATAAGAGTTACCAATTTTTATTTGTGTACAATTATGTACACATATGTATGTATGTACGAGTATTGTTTGAATTTATGTGACCTACTTTTAAATACAACGTTTTACTGGTTCATATTTGTAAATGTATGTATTTAGGTAAGTATATATATTTATTATATATATATATGTATGTATTTATTCTAAGCATTGTATAATTTTAATATATATATATATATGTATGTATATATTGTATATAACATAATAACATTGATTTTATGCTTTTTTTTTAGTTTCAAAATGCTGCAAACGTTGCTTGCCAAATGAGTATTTCATTTTTAAATTCCTAAATTCCTACATACATTTTAATAAATACTTTAGTGTATAGAAAAAAAAGCAGAAAATGCACTTAACGCTTCATTTTACAATTATATATATATATATATATATATATATACGTAGGTATCTCTTACTGCAACTACACATATTATTTTTTGGTGTTTCTTTTCTTCTCTAATGTTACTATATTTAGTTTATTTTATTTTTATTTTTACATTGAAGCGCAATCATTTCTCAAATAGGAATCTATTCTAACATACTCTATTTCTCATATCTACATATGTATGTATATGTTAGCGCTTATTGTGTTTTATTTTATTTTATTTTTTATTATTTACATTCAGTCCTTATTTTCTACTCAAGTCAGATTCGCAACATGCGTTGTGTCCATGTGTTGTATGAGTGTGCGCATAAATGCCATCTCTTTACGCGCATTTTCCAATATCACTTTCGGATCATCTGAGGTGCAACGCAAACAGTTTGGCGCAAACACCATTGCCAAATTGGATGAGTCCATTTTGGTGCAACTCACGACATCGGCATGAGAGAATTGTTGCAAAAAGTGCACCAAGTAAGTTAAAACCTGTGAATTAGGGAAAATAAGAAAAAAGTTAGTATAGAAAAAATGGAAATTATTTATGTATTAAATTTTTGGGATACAAAATAACCCGGTCCGGTGGTTTTTCAGCCTTTCCACATAGTTTTTGACTGTTACTGACACGTGGAGGCGAGAGTTGCAATGTTGCAAAATAAACTTGTGCTGCCTTTCGGTCGACCATTGCCGCTTTTCACGCAATGTACCACTCAAATGCATTAACTGTAGTCAATAACGTTTCACATCAATAGCCGCACTTGGCTTTAGCAGCTCATAGTACACCATACATCTGATTCCACCATAAGCAGAGTATGATCTTTGAGCCGTGGATGTTTTACTTTGGTATCGCAGCATTCGATGAAGTAACGGGTTCCTTCTCTGATACGGTGTAAAAATCTCTTCAATTGTTTGCCGCGAGTTAAGTTTGCATTTAACACAGATCTTGATCCAAAAAAAGCTGCCGATTTCTCATCTTCAAACTTGGCTGGGCTGGCCGTCATGCCCTTTGTTTCGGAACTGAAAATCACCACATTTGAAGCGTCGAAACCTAACTCTGTATGAACTAATGGTCGGCCAAGATTCAATTTCCACAAGTATACGTTGGACTTCAGCTGCACTTTTCTTACATTTAAACAAAAAAATTAAGACATCCGTCAAATGCTGTTTATTTAACACAAAGCCGGACATTTTCAAAGAGCAAAATATTGCTGTCAGAAGCAAACGCTGATGCGCACTAACTATCATTGACAGAAACCTTTCGAATAAAATAAGTAATCGCTTCCTAGATCGATCACGATTTGCAGGCGGAGCCAACTTTTTGGCACGGACCCTATCATTTTTATCTCCAATATATTTTTGCTATTGTACTTACCAATTTATTTAGTTCTGGAAGCTTATCAACAATTTCTTTGGCTTTTTCTGCATCCTCAGTATTAACGCACTCCTCATAAAACTGATCCGGTATAAGGGGATCATACAATTCACGATACCACAACTTCAGTAGACTAGCGGGAGCGTGTGCATCCACTGTGTGTAAAAAATATTATTAGAAAATTTGAATATACAATACAAGATATAGCATAAAAAACGTATGTATGTATATATATGTAGTGTATTCAATGCGAACTTGTACGGTCTAACTGGGAGTAGAACGGACAGTCGTATCATAAACTAAAAGAGAAAGAAAAAACCCCTAAGACAAAGAATCAAAATGAGAAAACTTTCAGAAGCTTCTGCGTATAATGTAAAGGATGTTTTTTTAGACGGGTGGTTTACCATCAGGCCATACATTTTCGTAGTACCCCCTGCGGGCCATACTTTGGGGAATAATTTTGTGGTTACAACAACAACATTTCCGGAGTTGCGTCTGTCTAGGGGATAATGTGACTCCTCAAAGACGCCATACAGCGCGCACCGAATACGCGACAAACGTGGGGAACGCGAAATCTTCAAATGAGATTCAATTCCCCAAAATTTAAATTGAGCTCAAATCGGGTTGACTATTAACCATTATTGAATTTTCGAGAAATTTTTTCATGAGAAAAATTTATTTTTTAATATCTCGCCGCTATACAAAAAGTGTATTAAAAGAAGCAATTTTCATAAAATTTGAAAATATTCTAACAAAGCAACATAGATTTCGGCTGTTTCCTGCATTTAATTACTACATGCACTGCTTAATGGATTACATTGGTTTTACACCTTTAAAAAAATCGATTTTTTTACTGTCTTATTTTCAAATAAATCTGAACAAAAGTTGCGGAGATACAGCCTTGGGAAGGTGCGCACTCAGAGGCAGGTAGGCTGCGCGCTTTAAAATTTAAACGCATTTTTCTCGAAATTGTGATTTCAAAGTCGATTATTAAATCTTTGCACAGGTCTTCGAGATACAATTCACGATAAATTGAACGAAGGATTTTTCAATCTAAACCATTTAAAAAAAAAAATTGCCAAAAAAAGTTGACACAAATAAACCTATGTAACCTCTTCAGCGTTAACAACCGAAAAAGCAACACCATGTATAAAGTTCAAATAACTCTTACCCATGCTATTTTTATAATCAGGAACATCCCACCGATCTAAGCGGCTCTTCAAACAATTAACCTCATCCACATCGGCAGAGACGCGGAAAATTCCTTCCGTTTGCTTGCCGTTCAATAGCAAAACCTGAAATTTATTTATAAACATTAACAAATATGAAATTAAGAATGTATGCAATTTATTCCTTACATGTTCGGACAACGTAGTTTGTATCCACGGCAATTTGCGGAAAGGGAACTTATCCTTTTGCAGCTCCATCACCTCAGCAATAGTATTGCCGAACATACTAACGCGTAGGATTTGATTCTAAAAGAAGTCATAAAAATTAAGTTTATGTTTCACAAATGAATAATAATAATAATAATTGGAAAAGCATGTCTTTAATTTTGTCAGTTTAATCGTAGCTTTTAGTCATGACCCAACGCACAATACGAATAGATTCTTTTTTTGCAGATTTTATGTTATTCGAATTGGTATCGGTATTGGTCTTTTGTGATTAAATATCAATTATCATAACTCAATAAAACGTGCAGTATGATATAGTCTTCTGATTTCTATGATTTTCGGTTCCAGTTAGACGCTTTTTTTGCAAAATTTATGACCCGAAATTGAAAGCCGATCCTATATATGTTTGGCTGAAATATCTCAAAAACTGAGAGATTAGTTGGTGTACAAACAGACGAACAGACGGACATGGCTAAATAAAGTCAACTGTAATTCTGATCCGATCGGCATAAATTTTAATGGGTCTTTCTTTTCTCCATGTGGAACCTACATACTTCGTATCAAAGTTAATGTACCATGAAAGGTTAAAAAAACTGATTATTTCACAGAAAAGGCAGCCATTAGGAATTTCATAATGAGACAATTAGTCACAATTAATTGCGTCAAGACTTCCGAGAGTATTTCTAACATGAAATGAAAACATAAACATACAAACCGTAAATTGGGCCAGATCGACTGAAAATCGCTTCAGCGGTTAGCAAGCGCCAATTATGTAATATTTATATACGTGTATATAGGTATATGTATTAGCCCAGATTTATGTATATAAAAGCGATTGTTTGTTACATTTGTGGATATTATACAAAATAAATTTTAATTAAATCTTTCTCACCCTCGCCTGCTCAACTTCATCTTCCGTTGGCCGCTTTGCCTGGCGCCGTCCATGACTGCCAATCCGATCCAAACGACGACAGCAAACGGTTGCATAGTGTGAGATCTGTACATGAATGGGCCATTTGCCCACCTCCGGAAATGATGTGGCGAAGGATGGATCACGATGGCGATTCATATAACTGCGAGTAAATTTAATTTTGACATTTTAGTGAATAAAAAGCTATAGACAGAATGTGGTCTAATAGACATACTTCAACAACGTTGGCTGAAATGTCGGTGACGGTGGCACAAAGGACAAGCAAATAGCCATCAACTCCCAGCCACGTATAAGCGAATCACGTTTTGGATTTTCCGTGGTCTGTCGGCATAACTGCACGTATAATTCGTCGCGTAGCCTGCGAAATTTAAAAAAAAATTAATTATTCAAATTTCAAATTTCTTTCCTCTTTTTTTTGGGAACTCACTGTTGTTGTGGCAACGCTGCCACTATTATATCAATGACCACCGAATTGAGACTCATGCCGGGACGTGCCTTTCGATCGCCCATATAAATTTGCACCAATTTGAAAAGTTCAATGGCAGTTTTCTTGTCTGTCTTGTCGCGTGATAATGCCAACATAGGTCGACTGATGGGCTCTGGAGTCCAGCTTAACATGTCGCGCACAGAAGACTGTGAAATAAAAAAGGTTATATAAATATATGTGAAAAGTGGTAAAGTGAATAAAAATCAATCTAATTTAATTTTAATTATAGACATAGATTTTTTTCCTTTTAAAGGGAATTTAGTTATTAATTTTTATTTTTGTGCTCTAACGCATTCGCCTGAGAATTTTTGTATTTATTCCTTTATTACCTTCTTCCGAAATATGCCTTTTGAGTGTAAATTTAGATTGTCGGCAGCGAATTTCTCAATATCACACTCTTTCATGCACACCAGCGTGGTTGTTATGCCACCCAAGTTAGGCGGTGCACGTTCGCTAGGTGGAAATATCTGTTGAATGGTCGGCTTTAGCGAGGGTGGTGGCAATCTGGGCGTACGCGTCATGCTAGCAGTGCCACCACTTAAGACACCAACACCAACACCACCACTGCCACTCTCATCCTTTGCATAATGATGCAAACGTACACTGCCGCCGCCTGTACCGATAACACCGCCACCACCACCACCACCGCTGCCAGTAGTGTTGCCATCAATGCCGGATGAACCGCCGCTACCACCACCGCCCGATTGTGCAATACGTGAAATTTGTCGATTGGGTGAGGGTAGTGTTTGCGACTGCTTTTGCTTGGTATCCGCATCAAGTTGAAGATGTTGATGTGGCGGCAATGGCGGTTGCGGTGGCAGGTGATGATGTGGCGCCAGTGGCGGTGTATTGGAGTACAGTTGATTTTGTTGTATTTGTGCTTGAGATCCGTGTTGATGATGGCCTAATGATTGTTGTTTTTGCTGTTGATATTGCTGCTGTTGCTGTTGTTGTTGTTGTTGTTGTTGTTGTGTGGTTGTGGTATGTGCTGTGTGCGCAGTATCATAGAAAGAGATTTGATATCGTTGCTTTGGCTTTTGTGCAAACTCGGTTGCGCGTTCAGCGCCCTGACTGCCAATACCTTCAAGCACAGCTTCTACATTGTCGGAGCTAGTAATTGGAAAATATATATGAAAATATGCAGACAATTAAATTACTATTGTTTGTTTGTTATTGCAGGAAATGAAATGAAAAAAAAAAAATTTATTAAACCACAAGCACTTACATATCTTCACGACCTGAAGGATCATAGGGTGGATATTGATATGCGTAATAGGACACACTATCATCCATATTGGCATAATCATCTATCATGCCATAATTATGTTCCAAATAACCGCCATGCGTGTCCGAACCACCATCAGAATCCTCGTTATCTGGCTCGTGGCCGGAGAGCGAGTGCTCCGATTGACTATCCGAGTGATAGGAGTCCGAATCGATGGGATCTCCGAATACATAATGACCAGATAATTTCGCTTGCTCCATAATGTAATTCTTTAGTGGCAAAAGGTGTTCGTGCATTTCCTGTATGCAAAAAAATATAGTGTATTTTAATATTGTTCTTGCATAGCAATTTGGCTGGTAATCACTTACTTGATCCCAATTGCTATAAAGCGGCGATATATTGCCATTATCGTACTCCACATCACTGTTATCCGCATTTAGCAAATTGTTATGCTGTCGTGAGCCACGTGAGCGACGATGATCATGCTTATTGCCACGTGAACTATCATAGTAATGCTCATTGGAGCGCCGATTTGAGTGTTTGTCCTACAAAATGCAAACAAGAAGATTATATATATATAAATAATTTAAGGATTTTTGTTGTAATATGATGACATAAATCAACCGTCCCTAGAGCAAATCAATTATAAACTCGACACATAGTGGAAATGAGTGTAGTAACCACATTAATATCCCAGAGTGAACTCAAAAATTTCTTTTTCCTTATAACTAAATGATCGCATAAATATGTGCTCCGATTTTAAGACCCATACTCACCAGACTTGCCGAATTGTGCCACAAAGACCCAACCGAACGGTTATCCTGACTTTGGTGATGCTGTATTTGTGGCGTCTGCTGATGATGTGTACGCGTGCCAGTTGACGAACGTTGCTTGCTACGCGAATCGTTCGAGCTGCGTGACGAATGTGTCAACATTCCACCAATATTATCTGAAGAGGGAAAATTTTTCATGCCCACCGTTGCGGTAACAAGATTATTTGGCGATGTTGAAGAGGAAGCGATCACAGCATCGCTTAGATGTGGTGATGTCGGTTTATTCAGTGACATACGTTCCATATTCAAAAGCTCCAAACTGCATGAGGAGTCCTGCTTGTGATGTTTGCTATGCAAAGGTGCTGTTGGCGAGTGACCGGGCGAGTGCAGCGCTACATTTGTGGCGAATGTGGCGCTACCGAGCACATTGTTAGCGGTTTTTGAGTTCGTTTTTGATTTTATCTACAAAATAATTATGATAGGAAATTAGTTGAACGTGAAGGTGGAAAATATTTAACGAATTTCATTACACACCTGTGGGCTTATAGGACTCTGCGGGCTTGAATCGCTAGAATGTTTCTTATTGCTACCGCTACCACTGGTGCCACCGCCAGTTGTGCCATCGCCACTCACCGTTTTGGTTGCGGCAGCGTGACGCCTGCGCGACAATGGTGTATTCTCCACGGACTTGAAGTATTTCTCGTGCATTGAATCATCACTGGCCGCGCCACCATTTGCTTCGCCGCTTGATTTCCGATACGACTTACTATGATGGCCTGCGGCAGTGGGATTGATCGATGATGACATAAAGCTACCCGAGCGCGCCAACGATACTTTATAATCACGTTCTACAAAGATAGAAATACAGAGTGTGTCGTGATGTGATGTGACAACATACACGTATGTACTTATGTAACATTCGCCTATCTACTTACCACCAGCATATTCCGCTGCACCATGATGTCGTCCTCCAGAACCGCTACCACTATTCCGCAGTGCCAGCGGTGTTTGTTGTTGCTGTTGTGGCTGTGAATGCCTTTGATGTGCATATGCCAGCGGTGGATACTGTCCACTGCTGCTGCCTCCTAAGCCGCCACCACCATCTGGCGAGATTTTCTTCTTTGGTTGTGGTGTGTGCGCCGAATGTGTGGGCGAAGCAATATCCGACGACTTGGACGAGCAGTATCCAGGCAAATTGTGTCCCGGTAAAAGCTGTTGTTGTTGCGGTGAATGCGTTTGCGTAGGTGTCTGTTGATGATGACGCTCAAAATATTTATCGCCTGTTACTCCACCACCACTACCACCATTTCCACCGTAAGATGGAGCATGTGGTAAATTGTGTGAACTACCGCTCTCTTGCAATAAATCAAAGCTGTGATGAGGGTTTCGTTCGAGCATATGGCGAGGTTAGTCATATATATTTGTATGTATGTGGGCGTTGTTTTTGATGTTTTCAGAGCAGGTACAGGTAATGATGGTTGTGAATTTTCCAATAGTACACAGGTCGGCACCACATACGACCACATGGAATGAAAAGCAAAGATTTAGCGTAGGATTCATACCTATGTACGTGTGTGTATGTATGCATATGTAGTTTTGTAAGCATAAATGACTATGAGCACAGCTATAAAGCAGATATTTCACACTCACCTGCCCTCCTTACGTGTGCGCTGCTTCTGTAGTGAGCCCAAGCGCAAGCTTTCCCCAGTACTAGATTCATTGAAACGCCGATACCCGTGTACGCTTGACAAACTGGAATCGCTGGACTTGCCCGATTCCTTGTAATGATTTGAGGAATCTGTAAATGTGTGAGTGTGTATATGTAGTTGACATATTATATACATATATATGTATGTATATAAATATAACAGTAATAAGAGTTAGTTCATAAATGATATTTTTGCATGCATATACATATATATCTGCATACAAATTGATGTATGATACCGCACACGAGAGAGTTATGTCCAGCGTTTCTTATATGCGGTGCTGAAGGGAGTCGGTATAGTCTAGTACTTCCTTCCCGGAGGTTCAATCTCATGTAAATGGCTTTGGAATGCTACCGACAGTACTGCATAACATTATGTTCCTCAACTCGTAGCACAGATGTTTCACTGTGTATGTGATGTTCCGGAGACAACAGGTGATTACTCATCACGGTCCTGAAGCCGATGTTCTGGCACGCCTGTAACTTCCTCATCTGTTTCTCGTTAGTTCCCGACGTCTGAATCGGAGTAGCGTAATTTACCACCATCGTCTCACACATCGAGTTCGAGTCGGCACTCCTTCGTAAATCTGGCGAAAAGAGTAGCCGACGAGTTTCAGGTTATACTTGTAGATGTCGTGTATTGAAGATGTGGGAAAGGTTGGCGAGATAACAGCTCACTTTCGAACATAAGTTGGCGATATGATGGTAATAACGAGCAGTAATCGCAATATGATGTCAATTAAATGCCCACTGGTGGAGGAGGGAGCTTTGAGATGCAAAAATTAAAAAGAAGCGGGTAGAGGACACTACTCTTCGAAATTCCTAGTTCACTCTTACGAAGTTTAGAAATTTGACCTTGAAATTCTACAGACACCTCTTCAACCACGGCGTTAATGAGGAATCGTCAATGTTTGCTAGTGGTACGGAAGGGTTAACCTTCCTGGGTGTTTATGGCATTAAGTATGGTTATGGTACTACACACTTTACGGAAGCCATGCTGATGTGCTGCTGGACTCTAATATTGTGTGAAGGACAATAGCAGCAAAGTCAAATGCCTTCACTACTAAAGAAAGGAGAGATATCGGCCGAGAAAACTCTCCCTTGTTGACTGGTTTCCCCGGTTTAAGTAGAGGTATCAAACGAGAGACAAATTGAGAGCCTGGGTAAGATACTCTGCTTTTTCCGTGAGGGCTGACAAATTTAGAGATTTTTGCCTTCCCTATCGAACTCACACGTACTTATCGTTCTTGTGGCCTAGTGAAAGATTTAGCCACCTCCAATATGCTCATGCTATCTTCTTATCGGAATGCTACTAGAAACTATTTGACATTTCTGCGAAGAGAGTACAGTAATTTATTTACAACTCATAAAATCGTTGTAGCTCCGAACTGGGCTCGCATCCTGACTACTGAGATCAAGAACAATAATACATATGTATGTAGTTGTCAGATTTTGGTAATTATATTTGGCATTCACTAAAGAAGATAACAACCGAGAGAAAAACACCGGATTTAGGCAACGACAGTCCTCAGGTAGGCTTTAATCACGTCTTCACAAAGGTGTCATTCATAGAAGAAAGTCTGCAGATTCGTTGCATGTGTAGGTATGTCAATCATAAATAATTCCGCGAAGACCGACCAGGTAAGGCGCACTAAATTTAAGTTTTGAAAAATTTGAAAGTATGCATTCAAAAAATATGCAACTCCAGAACAAATGTAGTCAAATAGAAGGTGTGCAACACATTAGGCAGAATGTCTGTCTAAACGGACCGAGACAAATGGGCGGATAAGAAAGATGAGTGAGTCAGTCGTCTTACAAATACTCGTACGTATTTTTTACTTCGTGTGTGTGTACCTATTCCAGCTGCTGGTTGTGCGTAATCTTCAGTAACAGAGTATTCAACTATTTCAACAACTTGCATACCTACATTGTACATATAAAAAAATACTCTTAACAGTCCAAGAGCTCAAGACCAAGATATGAGGCGGCGTGATGACTGCCAGAAGAAATAGGAGGAAGAAAAATGTCAACGGCAGTCGAAATCCAATATACAAGCATTGATACATAAATATATACATAGGTACGTAGGTTCATGTACCCTGCAGGGAGAAGCTAGTCTAACTTCTGCAAAAATTCTAGTTAAATACTAATATTTTTAAGAAAGCCAGCTCAGGGCTTGGAGGAGGAGCTCGGCCGAAACCGATAAGAAGAGACATTTCATCTTATTTTTTTCCAAGGTTTGGTGCATGGTGAATATCTGGTCAATTGTTGATTTACCAGATCTAAAGCCGCACTGAAAAGGTTCAATCAGTTTGTTGACGGTGAGCTTTAGTCTTTCACACAATAAGCTCAATTAAGACATTTTATGCGATATTGTGGAGGCTTATTCCACGGCAATTGGCACAGACTGTGGGATCGCCATATATGTAGATTGGGCAGAACACACTTAGGTTCCGATCGTGCGACCATAGTTTGCAATGAAGCTGATACATACACTTTATCTGTTCTTCACCACCGTATTTGAATAGCTCGACCGATAATCCATCGGCTCCCGCCGCCACTAAGCACCAAAGTCTTTCCGCTATTCGTATGTTGTGGTTGTTTTTATTACACCACAGCTGAGTTGCATTTCCTAATAATTTCTATGGAAATGCTTCGATTTCGTTGCTCTCTACATTATAATGATAGCCTGGTGGTTCGATGCTCTCAGCAGGTAAACTCATTTCAATTTTTATTTTATTTTTAATTAATTTTGAATCCTTTTGTATTTTTTTTTTAATTTTTTTTAATTTTTCTAATTTTTTTTATTTATTTTTNTTTATTTTTTTTTTTATTTTTTTTATTTTTTATTATTTTTTTTTATTTAATTTTTTATTTTTTTTTTATTTAATTTTTTATTTTTTTTATTTTTTTTTTATTTTTTTTATTTTTTTTTTTATTTAATTATTTATTTTTTTATTTTTTTTTATTTAATTTTTTATTTTTTTATTTTTTTTTTGTTTTATTTTTTTTTTTTTCGTTTGGTGAAATAGGCGGGCAATTCTCATAGGATATTGCCGTGTTGAAAATTCCATTTACTTTTATGGGAAATATATGGAAGATGAAACATCTACTATTTTTCCCTACAGGGTAGGTTCACGTATGCACATACATACATTCATAGATATATATGTATGCCTCTATATTTACATTTGTGACGACTGTTCATTAATGTCTTAATATGTGCATATAAGAATTTATTTGACAGAAGGCGCACCGGCTCGAACAGCTGGCAATGAAGATGGTGTTGTACACAACAGCAACAACAATAACAACAACGACGTAAAAGTACTTGAACCGAATTGCCGGGAAGTCGAAACAAGAAAGTAAGAGGAATAATATGGATGAGTGAGCGTCACGTTTACATAAAGATTTATATGTACATATGTACATATAGACGACGTATAGATACCGTAGATATGTATGTATGTATCTACAAATGTAAATTTATAAAGTATAAATTTGGTTTGCTATGTTCATATGCATTGCAAGTGTATATTTATTTATTTTTATAGATTTACATACACACGTACGCATATGTATGTAGACACATATGTGCGTAGAAAATAGCTTACTTACCTTGTGAGCGCCTCGCTGGGAATGGCTGCATGTCCGTGAACGATGATGAATCACCCGTTCCAACACTGTGGCACAACGAATCACCATATTTAATGATAAATCAGACACATACATATATGCAGATATGCAGATATGTCAGTTTGTGCCATGTTCGTAGAAGTGTTTATTTGAATGCGACAATAAAGGAATCCGCACAATTTCAACGACGTTGCGGATGGCAATGAACGCCGCCGCGTAGAATACGCAGCACCAGCCAATGTGAATTGTACGCGAAATATGAGTTATGAAAAAGAAGAAGAAGAACAAGGAGGAAGTATAGAAATCTATTTAATTTACACGCCACAGACACCGAATAATTTATGCATAGACATTTATGCAAAGAATGCACTGACATTTTCTTCAGAAAATCGCAGTTAAACTCAGACTGCACAAACTCACCGAAAACTGTGACGCCCACGTGGACTAGAAATGAACTCCGTCGAGATTTTCTCCTCCGAACTGGCATGCAGCTGCATAGCATTGGTATTTGAACTGCCGCCAAGACCACTCTTGCCACTGCTACGACTTTCTAAACCAGCATTACTCCGCTTACCCGCACTTCCCGCACTACCAGCGGTATTCGTATTATTCATTGCAGCTAATCCTGCAGCTTCACGTGCAGCGCTACGTTGTGCTCTCAACTTTCCAACCGCCGCCAAAGGTGATTGGGTCGCTGACGTTGACTGCGATTGCGTTTGCGATTGTGAGCCTGCGCTGTGCTGCTGCGTTTGCGTACTGCTCTCCTTGCGATCACTCGGATCCGTATTCTGCTTGAGAGTTTGCAATTTCGCCAACGGTATGATATCACACTTGCTTGGCCGATGCCAGACGGTTTTCTGTGTCGCCGCATTGTAGTAGTAAAAGCGTTGCGTATTCGTATCAAACAATTCCCACCACTGTGATGAGTCGGTGCGCTTAATTGGTACATCCTGCGGCGCAGCAACAAACATGCAAAAAAAATAATAATAATAGAAAAAGAGTGTATGGAAATGAATGTTAGTAAAGTGGTACTGTAGAAAATTAGAAATGAGTACAACAAATACAAGAGTAGATAAGCGTAAAAATTGCAGAAATAACAATCAAATTTATTTTAGCTTCTATGCAGGTATACATATACACACATACAAACACGTTTATCCCAGCAAACAACGCTTAATAGTAAACTTCATAATTTTATTATTAACTGATTATGAAGTTTATTTACATTCTATATTTGGTAAACAACGGTACTATTTTCTTTTTATATGAAAAAAAAGATTTCTCCAAATAAGACGTGTTATTTGGATATTGAGATTTAAAAGGATTCTTTGAGTGAAATGATCGGATGTTTATTTCAATATAAAGAGGAGGAAGATTACCATTAATAACCGAAAACAATTTCAGCCAAATGTCCGTCAAGGTTAAGCCTACCGTAAGGACCGTATCCTTTTCATGAAATTTCCTCATAAGCCAAGTCGCAAAGTGGCTGCTGTATGCCTTCAATAGCGTCACGAATTCCCCATTTTGAGGTCTTGAAACAACGTTGGCCTTTTGGCATAGACCTTATCTTTCACGAGGCCCCATAGGAAATAGTCACAAGGTGTTAAATCACAAAATATCGGTGCCCAATGGTGATCACCTCTTCGAGAGAAAACACCGTTCGAAAGCATTTCCCTTAAAAGAACGAAACCATTCACAGTAACTTTTGCTTCAGCCTCATTTTCGAATAAGTAAGCTACGAAGACTCCGCCGACCCATAGACCACACGAAAAATTTACATATCGAGAATGGAGTGGCTTTTCAACAATAAATCTTTGGGTTTCCGAATAGCATATTCGAAGTTTTACTTATTGACGTAGCCATCGTGCGTGGTGGAAAGAGCCTCATCAGTCCATGTGATGTTTCAATAAAATTTCGGGTAAGACACGACCTTGATGATGATCGCCTGGCTTGAGTTCTTGTGCTAACTGAGCTTTATAAGCTTTAAGATCTAAGTCTTTATGAAAAATGCGGTGTATTGACGTTTCTGGAATACCCAATTCAAAAGAACGACGCGGAAAACTAAGTTTTCTTCAAGACTTTAGGCTGCAACAGCAATATTCTCAGTTGTTCTTAAGCTACGTGCACGTGTTTTATTCTTCACATCACCAACTTATCCCAACAACTGTAATTTCTCTTTGGTATTGCGGTCCGACAAGGAGCTTTACAACGACCGAAAATTATTTTCATTTCACGAATCGTCTCTACCAGATTTCCACCGCTTTTATAGTGAATTTTAATAATTGCATAGCATTGTTGGAGCGTGTATCGGAAAAAATCGCAAAATCCCATCTAACCCCTTAATAAAAAATAAATGATTCATTCTAAACACCCGCTTAAAGAGATTTTCAGAATTTTTTTTTGTTGAAGCGTGAACGATACAAAATTCCCCTGGGAGTTTTCGGGAGAAAGGTTTATGGTTTTCTGCGTGTGGGTGTTGGCAAATATCACAGACGTTCGAGCAATGAGCTGTTTATTAGACATTCGACGACATTGACATAGCTCAGCGAATTAAGAGACAGCGACTATGGTGACTAGGTAACGTCGTCCGGATGGACGATGATGGAAATAAGGTAAGATTTCCAATTCTATTGTTAACTCGGCTATAATCGCACAAACGGTGCCTATATCCAAGAAAAATAGAATAATGTTTTGCAACTTAAATAACTCGAAAGAATTGAGTTTTCTTCAAAAACACCATCGCTTAAAGGTCGCTACCTCACGTTCCTATTATATTAGGTTTTCAAATTCCGCTTTTTTTGTCTTTTGAATTTCGCGGCTATGTACAAAGCGCTACAGAGCTCGTATCTGGCAACACTATACATAATTTGAAAGGTCTTGACATAACCTACAAAACAACGCTATGCATGATTAGTTTGGATATTGTGTTCAACAGTTATAGACGTGTAAACATGGAGTTCACTAACGCCGAAATTCGCGCTATTTTAAAGTTTTCCTTCGTTAAAGGCAAATCCGCTAGAGAAACGTTCGGTGAGATTAATGGTGTTTTGGGGGACGGTACTCTATCACTTCAAACCGCGGAGGAATGGTTTCGACGATTCAGAGCCGGTGAAAACGACACCATGGATAAGCCAGCCGGCGGAAGACCTGCGACGACAAATACCGATCAAATCATGGAATACATCGAGTTAGACCGGCATATGGCATCTCGTGACATCGCCCAGGAGATGGGAGTTAGTCACCAAACCATTTTGAACCATCTGCAGAAGGCTGGATACAAAAAAAAGTTTGATGTTTGGGTGCCGCATAATTTGACGCAAAAAAACCTTCTGGACCTGCTGCTGAAACGGAACGAACTCGACCCATTCTTGAAGCGGATGGTCACTGGCGACGAAAAATGGATCACATACGACAATATCAAGCGAAAACGGTCGTTTTCGAGGGCCGGTGAATCGTCCCAAACAGTGGCCAAGCCGGTATTGACGGCCAGGAACATTTTGCTGTGTGTTTGGTTGGATTGGAAGGGAATCATTCACTATGAGCTGCTCCCATATGGCCAGACGCATAATTCTACCATCTACTGCGAACAACTGGACCGCTTGAAGGAGGCGATCGACCAGAAGCGTCCAGAATTGGCCAACAGGAAGGGTGTAGTGTTCCACCAGGACAACGCCAGACCACACACTTCGTTGATGACTCGTCAGAAGCTACGAGAGCTCGGATGGGAGGTTTTATCACATCCACCATATAGCCTGGACGTAGCGCCAAGTGATTACCACCTGTTCCTGTCCATGGCGAATGCCCTTGGTGGTGTGAAGTTGAACTCAAAAGAGGCTTGTGAAAAGTGGCTGTCCGAATTCTTCGCAAATAAGGAGGGGGGGCTTCTACGAGGAAGGTATTATGAAGTTGCCGTCTGGATGGAAACAGATCATCGAACAAAACGGCGCATATTTTAACTAAATCCGATCACTGTAACACTGTTTATAAAGCATTCAATGAAGAGCAAAAAAAAAGCGGTTGTTTAAAACTTTGATATGGAAGTCAGTCAACAAAAAACGCATCAAAGTTTAACAGAAGACAAGATAATAATGACGGTTTTCTTCGATTATCGCCGGTGTGTCGTGCTCTCGAAAATCTTGCCAAAAGATTGGAAGGTTGGTAAAAAAAAATATATCTTGAACATTAGAGTGGCTTTAGAGTTAGCAAATTCGCCGAAAATGCGGGTTTTGTAGAAAAAAACTCATGAATTTCGCTCCTAGATAACGTAGCATATCACAAGGCAAACATTTTTGACCAAAACTTTAACCAGATACAATGGATCAAAACTCGTATTCACTTCGCTTAGCGTCAGCTGTATTATTTCTCATTCCAAAAGTAAATTTCCTCACTTCGAGGCAACCGTTCTCAGAAGATAAAAGCCATGCAAGAGAATTCGCACCGAGAAGTGAAGTTGATTCCAGAAAATGTTTTGGTGATTGGACCATTCATTTGGCATAAGTGTATTATTCTTGAAGGCGATAAAATAAATTTGAATGACTAAAATTCACATAGATGGTGTTTTATTACCAATTCCAGACACTGTATGCCTGATTTGAATGCATTCAATCAAAGTATGTGGAATTCTCTACTATTTGTACTCGACAAGCTTTCTGTGGACAGTCAAATGGAATTCGTAGAGGTGGACGCTCATAAAAGATATGGACAACTACGAGGAAGCGTTTTTGGTTCGCGAAACGAGAGGTTTGTAGAAGGACGATTAGGCTCATTCGTATCGTAACGCGTTCAGTGAGTCAAAATTAGTATAAATATGAGATTTCGTTGTTATTAGACAATTAAAACTTCTTATAAAGTTCCTTACCAAGCAAGGAAAATCAACTGCGACCGTAAAAAAAGAGATTTCATTGATTTACGGCGACTCTTGCCATGACGGACAAGTATCACAGTTTATTTAAACATGGAAAGGAATCCGTTGGGGACATCTACCCCAGACATCACCCCAGAACTTATCGAAAGTTTAAAAAAAAAATACTTCAGCGATGTTCTGCTAAAGAAGAAACCACTCGCAGAAATGGTTGGAGTGAGCCTCCTGAATTACTGACCATCTTCAACGCAAGTTGGGTGCCAAGTATGCTCACGTCTCCGAAAAAACATCGTCCACAAGAGCCGCGTTGCCTTGGTTGCCTGATATTTTGAATCATTCAGCTACAGCCCAGACCTGGCCCCGAGTGATTATTACCTTGAGTGCGCCTAGGGACTTTAGTTTGTTGATATAAGCTTTGGACCTCAAGTAGCCCCAGAGATGAAAACTTCGGCCAATCAAAATTAGCGTTTTTCGATATTAAGCGTCCAAGGAAGAATGACTTCAAAAAATCCATTGTAGGACGAGTTGTTTGAAGGGGTACGTCGTCTTTTCTTGAAACTAGAAATGTTCCATGCTAGAGTATTATCATAGCATAATAACGCTCCTATATAAGGGTTGTTATTTTTTCACGCTCATGTTTAAAGAAGAATGGCCCGATGTCCATATCAGCATGAATTCCACACAGAACTGTCATTTTTGTGTCGTGAAGAGGTACATTTTTAATCAAATTTTGTAGAGATACCTTTTTGGGTAAGCTACGCGTGACTTCGTAAGCCAAGCTAACACCATTCGAGACATCGGTTGTTAATTTCAATTTGAAATATAAACATATCCAATGTAATGGTTTGCTGGGATGTGGATATATCTGCATCGTATGTGTAGCCGCTTTCGTAAAATATAAAATAACCGAGTAAAAATTTATATGAGCCGATTTTGTGTCGCTTGCTGCGTTGACTCAAGTCGAGCCGGTCAAGTGGGTAGTCGACCAGCGGGTGTGCTCAATTGTGTGTGGGCGTAGATGTATGTACGCATCAACGAGATGGGTAAGCGACAGACAATGGGTAGCGTGAAATTTAAGTGGCAGCCTAC